TATATAGCTTAGAAATCCAAATCTCTCCCTCCCTCTTTCTCTCTCTCTCTATCTATCTCTTTCTGTCTGTGTTAGCCCATTAATTGTACAGTTTGAGCTGCTCGCTGCGCTTCAGTGGCTCTTTAGCTGTTTGCCTATTTCGTTTTGGCTTTTTAATTAATTATACATTTGGCTTTACCTTTCCGACTTGCTGTTGTTTAACAAGTCAACTGTGGAGCTCTTTTCTCTCTCGCTCTCTCGCTCTATCCCTCTCTCGTCCACCTGAGCCAACAGCTGCCCCTCCCACAGTCCACACACATCGATTAAAACTTTGCATAATTAATTACTGCAAATTTCCTTCGTTCAGCGGCCTTTTGAGTAATGTCTTACCTGTCTCAGCCCCTGCCTCTGACCCAGCCAAGCTACCGCCCCCAGTCTCCACCCTCCCACACCCACCCACACACACACACACACACACACACTCCATATTGAAGCCGAAATACCGCCCACGCATTTAACTACTTGTTATTGTTTGACGCTGTCTCTACAGACCTCCTCTCATACCCCCGACCGCCCCCATCCCTCGCCCCCTCTCACCCACTACTCACTCTGCTATCCCTTTTCGCATTAAGTTAAAAGTGCGGCGCACAGAAAAAGTTGTTCAGCAACTTTTATTCACGCTTCTCCCCGTTACCCGTTACCCATTATCCAAACCTCCCTCCCTTCCCATTGGGCCACCCCCGCTCTCCAGTGACCAGGCGCGCGCGCTGCCTCGTTTGCATTGTCTTTGTGCGGTAAACTTTGTAATTGTTTTACTGGCTAAGAGCAGCGGCAGTTCCTGCTACGCAGATGGTTGAGTTTTGGTGCGCAACAGTTTGAGAGCAACGGCTGCATTGGTTTGCCATGCACTGGGCGCCACTTGGTCAATGGTCAATCACCAACAACCGAAGCAGAAGCAGAAGCCGAATGTCGAACCGGAAGCGTTGCCATAGCCGCCGTCAACAGCGTCGTCCATTGTCGCCGAGGCAAACAAAGCTGCTGCCGCAGTGGGCGGGGCAGGGTTAACATTCAAAGGTGAGCGTGCGGCATGCGGCGTGCGGCGTGCGGCATGCGGAACTGTTGCCACTTGCTGTGCATGTTAAATGACGCTCTGCACTCGACTGTGACGACGCGTCGCCTCGTTCAATGTTTCCCAATTGACGTTGCTTTTGCGCACAGTTTGACAGCCATTGCGTTCTCAGTGGAAAACTTTGACCATTTTCGATCGCTTCAATGGGAGTGCGATAGTTAAACGGCAAAGTGGAAAAGCTTTGAATGCACATTGAAGGAGAGAGAGAGAGAGAGAGAGAGAGAGAGAGAGAGAGAGCTGCGAGTGTTTGTTAGGGTATATCAGTTCGTATATGGAATACACATTCATTTGCATACATACATATGTATACTGTAAGTACCACATTTACAATGCAATACGTGTATATAGTCACACCCCATTACCCCATTACACTTATTCTAGTTGATATTGATTTGCTCAACTTAAGCTATTTAGTGTAGTATAGCTCTACAATACGTCAATACGTCAGTTACTTAATAGTCTTTCATAGTATTAGTATTCACATTCCTTCATAATCGATATTTATCAATCTATAGAATTTAGAGACTTGATGAACACATGCTTATCTTTGCCTTGTGTATAAACTATATGTTCTACAAAACGAATATACCCTGTAGTAGTGCATATGGGGGCTATAAATAATATAAACGTCAGTCTATAGAATCAACACATCATATAAATCGGATTAGATTATCGGCAGAGTAAGATATAATTGTAAATACACTGCAAATAATGGAAATTATTTTATAGATTATTTTAGTTGACCCTTTTAAAAGTTCTAAGTTTGACTTATTCATAAACCAATATGGAGTTAATTTCAAATCGTAATTATGTAAAGAAAAATGATTTGTTGCCTTTCCTGTATTGCTTAGATACACAGAGACGTTCCGCTACAATCAAAAGAACATGCCTACAGTTTGACAGTCACTGAACGAGGCTGGGCAGTCTTGCGTGGCTGATTTGCATAGCCTAACAGCAGGCGCCAAACGAAAATCAAATTCGAAATTTCATGTTGCATACACAGAATGAATCTATGTGTATACACATACATACATAAAGAACTGTACATACACATATATATAATCGTTTACATATGTATATTTATTTTATTTTGCTCACCTGATATTTTCTAATGCTGTCCAATTGCTCGAGCGTTGGCGCCACAACTTGCGCTATTTGCTGTGGCTGTGGCTGTTGTTGTTGTTGTTGTTGTTGCTGGTGCTGGTGCTGATGCTGAATGGCGCTGCCATTGCCGGGTATTCGCCGGTCTGGCAGCTGTGGTGCTGGGGCGCAGTTAATGAGACGTCCATCCTTCTCGATGCGCAGATGATCACGAGGCGGTGGCAAAGGCTTCGAGTTGCCATTGAGCTGCACATAGAGAGAGAGAGAGAGAAAGAGAGAAGAGTTGGGGGAAGAGCAAAATGAAACAAAAATGCATTACTTTGGAATTATAAATTGTTTTTTGTTGTCTTTGCGTCTATGTGGATGCATGCATGTATTGATGTCTGTGTCTGTATCTCTGTGTGTGTGTATGTGTGTGTGACAGAGAGAGCGAGATAGATAGCGAGAGTAATGCACTTGTATGGATGTTGTTGATATTGTTGTTGCTGCTACTGCTGCTGCTGCAGTTGCTGTTGCTGGTAAATGTTGCTGGGTCACATTCCATTTAATTAGAATTTGCAGCAAGGCATCGTCAGTTTTCTTGTCACTTCTTCTTTTTATTATTATTATTATAATTTTTGTTTATATAAATATCACTAAATGCCGAGTTTCGTTTTACTTGATTTTACCTTTGTCCACTTCAGCACTGCAATTTATCAACTTCCCTGTTCTATTATCAATAAATTGTGTTTAAATTATATAGATACACACGCACACACACACATACATATATGTATATATATATACAGATGAACAAATATATACATGGACACAACTGCAGTACTACGAAGTCGGCAGGGCGTGGCATTGGCAGAGCTCAGGATTATGTTACTAACGAGAGTCGAGCTCCAGCGGCTGACAACCAAGGAAATTAGGCCAGACGCAGAGACGTTGCCAACGAATGCCAAAGGGCGTAAGCGGAGCCTCAGTCAGGAAGGAATTAAATTAAAAAGCCATAAAAGGAGCAACACAGAGAAATACAGCGAAAGAGAGAGAGAGAGAAAATAAGAGGCAGAGCGAAGCAGAGGAGAGTAGAGGGGGGCACATAGAGTTAGGTGAATGACTTGGACACCGCACACTAGATGATGGGCCATAATAAGCTGGAGCTCATAATTAGTAATAGCCCGTAAGAGAGATAGAGATGATGAAAGAGAGAGGGAGAGCGAGAGAGAGTAAGAGAGCGGGAGAGGGGATGGGAAAGAAACGGAAAGAACAACGAATTTTGCTGGAAATAGCAAAGATGCAAACCTATAGCCAGAGCGCTCTGCAAATAGAGCTTATTAGCTATGAGCATAGGCAACAATGCGTATACATATACATACATATACATATGTATATTCGGCCAACTACTAAATCATTAAATGGAATACCAATACGTATAACGGTAAAAGAACCAGATGAATCGCTTTGCGACAATTAACACTAATTGAGGCAATTGCATTGAAACGAGTTAACTTAGTGTATATATATACATACATATATACATATGTACATACGCACACATACATATACACGAATACGGTATTGCATTTAATTATTAAATAGTTCGCAAAATCTACTAATTGACTTACGGCTTACGCAGTTGGATTGTTTTACACTCTAATTGCGCAATAAACAAAGTTTGCAAGTTATAATGAAAGGGATTGTATAACCCACATTTTATATATATATATATGAAATATATATGCATATTACGAATCGACTTTTTTAGGAGTTCACACATTGAAAGGCTCTGTGTTGGCCTATGGGTTATATTCAATATGCATGTATATTGATAGTAAATTCTGTTACAGTTTTACAGTCACTGCAGCATCAACTCCCCTAGTTGGCTAGCAGAGTATCGCGCAGTCAGCTCAAAGGCAAGCGAAGCTGCTTTTGCTGAATGGCTTCACAAATCAGAAGACGAAACTTTTATAATCAGTCAATAAATTTATCGATATTTGAGATGAACGAAAAGCAAAGGCAAAATTGCTCAAGCTACACAGAACAAATTATGAACAGAGATTAACGACTCTGGCAAGGGTTGGAAGAAGGAAGCAAAAGAGAGCAGCTTGCGGAAATTGCAGCGGTAAACGTGGCAAGTTGTCGCCGAGCAACAGTTGCTGCTGTAGCTAGAGCAACTGTTGCTGCGATATGTGTGAGAAGCGACGGGGCGCAGTTGCAATGCAGCGGAAATGCTGATGAAATGCAAATTGCTGCTGATTTATGTCATAAAATGGCAGCGAATGACGCGCGAAAGCCAACTGATGTGACACAGAGAGCCACAGATAGAGAGAGAGGGAGGGGTGGGGGGAGAGAGGTAGATAGTGAAAAGGAAAAAGAAAACTATGCTGCTTTAAAGGGGGCTAATCGAGTGCTTTGTAAGGAATGTCGGTCATGTTGCTGCTGTGCAAGGCAATTGCTGCTGCCAGCCAACTGGGCAAATTACGTGTGGTCAAACTTAAACTAGGACAGAGATAGACATACTAAGAGAGAGAGAGAGAGAGAGAGCAGGCGAAGTGCGACGTGGAAATTGAATAGGTTACTAAATTGGAAATACTATTGTGGTTGTTGATATACCTCATCAGCAATACGCTTGCCATCGCCAGCAATGGCGGCAAGGGCACCGCCAGCAGCAGCAGCAGGAGCAGCAGCAGCAGCAGCAGCAATGGCAGCTGGCGCAGCAACAACCACGCCCAGCGATGAGAGCGTCGTCTGCGCCGTGGATGCGTTCGAGGAGCTGGCATTCGAGAGCAGCGAGCCGCGCGATGATAGATGCGCCGGCGGCGGGTAGCGCGGCGGCGCCTTGACCATCTCAATGAAACTATCGGGCACGTCGACGGGCAGCTCGCGATGCTTGGCCTGCGGCAAGAGCAGCTGATTGCCGGCTGGCTCATAGCCAGGTGGCGCCATGCTCAGATCATCCGGCATCGTTGAGCTGCTCGCTGTGGATGCTGCAGCGCTGTTGATGTTGCTGCTGTGGCTGTTGCTGTTGCTGTTGCTGTTGCTGCTGTGACTGTTGCTGCTGTTGTGCATGGAGCTGTTGCTGCTGCTTCGTGTGCTGTTCAAGGAGTTGCTGTTGCTATTGGGCGTCACGGTGGCGCTGTTGCTGTTGTTATTGGTGTTGCTGTTGCTGTTGCTGTTGCTCGTCGTCAGTTGCTGCTGCTGCTGCAGGTGACGATAGGCAATTGTCTCAAAGGTTTCCAGCGTCTGTTTGCTCAGCATATCATCGAAGCTGTTCGACGATGGCGAGCTGTCGCCCTTGCAGTAGATCTCATCCACCACGCACAGCAGCTCGACGGCAACATTGTTGTTGCTGTGGCTGTTGCTGTTGCTGTTGCTGCTGCTGTGATTGTTGCTGCTGTCTATTGCGGCTGGCTTCTTGTAGCTGGGCATTTGCTGTTGCGCTGTTTGGGCGCCTGTTGTTGCTGCTGATGTTGCTGCTGCCAGTTGCTGTTGTTGTTGTTGCTGTTCCGTTTGCAGATCGTTTTCATAGTTTTCGATTTGTTCCAATTTCGTTTGTTGTTTTTGATTGTATAAATTTTGTGTCGCCACATCGAGTGCAATTGTTGTAGTTGTTGTTGTTGTTGTTTTTGATGAGTGTTGTTGTTGTTGTTGATGATGATGTTGTAGTAGTTGTTGTTGTTGTTGTTCATGTTGATGTGAAGAATGATATGCAACAATTAACAATTTGTTAGCATGATCATTTTTAGTTTTAGTTGTTTTCTGGGTGGTGTTGTTGGTGGTGTGGTTGGTGTTGGTGGTGCTGGTGGTGGTGGCGATGATGCTGGTGATTGTTGTGTGGTTGGTGTTGTGTTTCTGTGTGGTGGATGATGCGTGGTGCAGGTGGTACATGTGAGCAATGCAATGTGAAATGAAATGAGAGGTTGTGTGATTGTGTGCTTCAGTGGTTGAGTGAGCTAGGCGCATGCATTTTGGGTGTGCTACGTGTTTATTGTGGTTGTTGCTGTTGTTAGTGACTATTGTTAGTTGTTGTTAGCGACTGTTGCTGGTGCAGGGCAATGTCTATTGTTTTCTTCTTTTATTTCTAGTGGCTGTTAGATTGGGTGGGGCAGTGGCTAGTGGGCGGTGGGCGGTGTGCGGTTCGCTCTGCTTACCTGTGGCGGACGGGGCGGCGGATACCTGGGTGGCGTCTTGTTGCGCGCTATAAACGTGTCGGGGCAGTCGACGGCCATCTCGCGATGTGGACCTGCGGGCGGATAAATCCATTTATTATAATGTGGCATGAGGCATGTGGCAGGTAGCATGTGGCAAGTGGTAGCTGAGATAACAGCTAACAGCTATTAGGTGGCTTGGCTTACCGTTATCTTGATTGACCGACAACATGGTCAGCATTTCCTGATCAATCTCCCTAATATCACTTGAGTGCGAGCGGTAATGCTGCTGCTGCTGGTGCTGCTGCTGTTGCTGCTGCTGGTGGTGCAAATGGTGGTGCTGACCGCTAATGTAATCATCCGGCAGACATGGCTTCAGATCATCGCCATCAATGACCACAATGCTGGAGCCGGAACGTCGACGTGGCCTGCAATGACAGCAAAAGAGCCAAGTTAACAAAGCTCGCCACAGGAAATGCCCACGAATAGCAATTCTCAAATATCTATCTTTTATATATTAGCTATTCTTATTCATATTCTGTACATTATATAGCTCAAGTCACACCTCATTTTTGTCTACATAAATACGAGTGTGTCCCACAGTGAGTCACCGAATTTAGCAGGTAAACGCCTCAAGACCTTCTGATTCACCTCGCCTTAACAATAATAAATTGAAATCAGTACATCGAGTTCAACAGTTCGAGTTCAATACGAACTCCGTTAAACTGCACAAAGCTCTAATTACGTAGTGGGAAGTGGAATGCTATTGAAATTATCGCCACTTGACTACCTAAGTGATTATAAATAAACTATCTTTATTATTATTATTATTACTGTTATTATTATTATCGTTATAAGCTTACTCAAATCAAGCTGAGCTTGAGATAAGAAAAGAGACGCAGACACATCTTAAGGACTGATGAGGAACGTAAACTTTCTAAGCGTTAGCCAACTGCTTTAACATGCAAGGCAAACAGGTCTATAAGTAACCCGGGAACAACATAGAAGCCGATTATAACTCAGCTTAAAGCGTTTGTACGGTTATTGCGACGCAAGGTCGGGTGCCTAGACAAAGTTATATGAGTAAACTTATATGGCTATAGCATCTTTAGGACATAAGAATGGTTCCTTGAGTGTTGCTATAACCGGATTCTGCTGTATATAGTACATGAGTAGAAAAAGAGGTCAAAGCTATCGATGAGAAGAACAGTAGCCATAAGGGAGTCTTTGATGGAACGCAGATACATCAGAGTCCATAGCCTGTCGCTCAATGCTGCAATGATAACATTCAACTTAATAGTGCTAGAGCGCAACTAGATATTGTATATCGGGCGAAACGGAGGTATGTCCAGTGCAGTCGATGCGAAGCTGCCTACCGAAGATGATTCCTTTATCTATCGGTGTGATACAAATGCACTCGGATCATAATTACTTTCGAAATAACCCAAGTAAGATTGGGAGAACTGCCGAATCCAGTTGGGAAAAATACTGGGAATAATTTTCTAAACTGTGAAAGTAGGTCAAGAGAAAGGACCCACCGACGGATAAACTAAAGAAGAAACTATAGAGACAATAGAGCAAAGGCGAATCCGACATGGACAGGAGAAGGGTTCCATTTTGAAGCTTGACTCTCAATCAAGAAACCAAAAATCAGTGTCATTATAAGCATTTGTATTATCCTCATTATTGTTCATAATATTATATGATTGCTATCATTATTAATACTGTTGGTTTGTATTTATTATTATTATTATTGTCATAATATTTTTGGCATGATCATTGTCATCTATATATGTATATATGTATATAATGCAAATTTTTACGTTTCATATCTTATCATCAATCGAACACCTGAAATCATATTAGTGTTACTCAGTTGTGCACTGTATTCAGTCGCTTTGCAACTGTCAATTAATAAGCTAATGAATCTGACTGAAGCATGTCTGAGGCAACACTAGGCGGGGATCCATATTTAATAAGGCCTGTGGCTGCCAAGCGGGCCCAATAGGGACTTCATTTCAATTAGTGGGAAATCTTTAAGCGCCGAGCAGAGGCCAATTCTAGCTGCTAATGGGGGAAATTAAAGTGTGTGTCATACGTATGAGCCAGGCTGAATAATTAATGCAAATTAGCATAAGACTAAAGCATTCCAGATAAAGCGCTTAACAGGCTGAAGCCGGGCCAAAACTTTGCTCATTGAGGGAGACAGAGATTTGCTTGCGCAGTTGATGGGGCCGGCGAATATTTATCTTTTTATTTAGCGATGGGTGGGGGATAATAGCCGAAACGACGTAGGATATTTGTGAAGCCTTGAGTGAGCGTTAGGCAATGCGGGGTCAAGCCGAGCGAGGAGAAATCAAAGTCAATTTTGATTTGGCCTGCTTGCCACAATCTGAAAAACATTGTCAGCTGGTGAAGTGTCAATTTCCTGATTGCGGCTCGTCGTCCGGCTCGACTTCTATCTCACAAGCTGCATTCGCTGGAATCGACAGCATCCCCAATGGCAAATCAATCAGCCAAGCGTCTCCAGAGGCACGAATCGCAAACCATGCAACACGTCGATGGCCGATTTTGTGGTCAGGTTTCGGTTTTGGTTTCGGTTTCGGTTTGGGTTTGGCTTTGGGTTTCGGCTTATAGCTCGGCTTTTTCATGCGATGTGGCAGGTAGAGCCTGAGCTTGAGCCTGAGGCTGAGGCTGATGCTGAAGCTGAGGCACCGTGGCAACAACTGACATGGCAACTATGCCACCTCGCCACGTCTTCAATTTGTCGGCCAAAGATTGGCTAAATATTTGAAATGCAATTGTTGATGGCTGCGCAAATTCCTTGCCACATGCACAGTGGAATATGCATCAGCGGATCGCATTTCCCCAGTTAGTTCCTCTTCCCAATGTCAAGAATGTTTTTGTTTTTCTCACTTCGTGCTGCGTATTTCGTTTGGTTTATGTAATGCATGCTGACATTTGTATGGGCGAGCGCACTTCGGCCCACGAAATACACACACACATACATATGGATATGCATATGCATATACATATGCATATGTATATGTATATCTTTATGTACGTAATGGCAGCGTGTTTTGCATACGAAATGCGAATGTCTATCTAACAGATATATGATATGCATAATATATAGACATGTGCACAACAATAGTCGCCGGCAGAAGATGTTTCGATTACACTGTCCGACACAACTAGGCGAGCAACAAGGGGCACCTCTGCTCAAGGCTGATTTGCATTTGGAATTGATGTTTAGCAAGAGTTTTTGTAGATGTTTGAATTTAATCTTATCTCTAACCTCCTCTATTATAAATGATGGAATCTCCTCCTTTACATGCTGGAATATTTGATTAGGGAGTTTGAAGGGAAGGTGGTAATAAATATAAAAATGCGATAAATGATAAATATCGAATTAGTTCCATATTATATATATATATAAATTAATTAAAAATCTAATAAAATTCTTAACACGTATCTAGTGGGCCTGTTTAACTAACTACGTATATATAGTATATATAATACAAAAAGTATCTACAAATTATTTCTACATATTTATATACTGCATTTAATATTTAATTTAGCTTTAAAAGTGCAATCGCATTCAATTGCTGTTGCACAGTGTAAACAGTATGAGACGACTCAGTAAACACCTATGCATAGATTCGATTGTACATAGCGATACATATGCATGCACGTGATAGATACAAATGTATCTTGTGCTTGAAATGCAGCAGTTGAATATTTAGATTCAAGCCGGAAATATTTGTTGGATTGAAAAAGTTCATGAAATCGAATTGAGTCGAGTCTCCTCTCTCTGTCCAATACACCCAACACACCCAATACACCTCCACTCACCATTGCTTCAGGATGCGCATTTTGCTGTTTGTTCTTTGTTTTGTTTATGTCGTTGTTGTTGCTCGTTGTTTGTGCGTTCGCTATGCTTGTCCTTCTCCTGGACCGTGGCACATTGCATTTATTTCAAGCGCTGTTCAAACAACAAGGCGCACACATAACAAAAAAAAAAAAATAAGAGCAAAATAAAAAAAAACGTTAAAAAAATGTTGCTGCGCATGCGCGCAATACGAAACGGGCAACAGGAAAAAAAATCAACAGCAACAGAAAATATAATACATATATGTATGTATTCGCAGACCAAAAGCAATTGCATTGCGATTATTGCTGTTGTTGTTTTTGTTGTTTATTGACCAAGGTATAAATTACGACAGCAAAAAAAAAAAAAAAAAAAAGAAAAAAAAAACTGTAAAAAGTTGTTTGACCAATTTCTCAGCACTTTCGAAAGAAATTTTCGCTGTTGTCGTCGCTCGTTGCTTTTACGGCTGCTGCAGTAGCCATTGACGTTGCATGTTGACCACACACACACACACACACACACACATACACGCGTGCACGCTACAGACACACGCACACACTCACATACAGACGGACGCACACACATTCACACACACACGCATAGCGCATAGTTTTTGCCACCGTTTTTTTGTTTCACTTGTTCAAACATTTCAATTTTTCAAACAGCAACAACAACAAAAGCTTGAAGGCATTCAGTGATCTGGCAACGCTGTTATGTGTAGCACTACAGTGCAACTAAAGCAATTGCAAGGTGCACAAAAAGGAGAGTAAGAAGAAGAGGTAGAAGAGGCAGATGAGGTAGAAGAGGCAGATGAGGTAGAAGAGTAACAAGGCAAGTTGAGCAAAGTAGACAAACAGATTTTTGTAGCAAACTTTGTTTGACTTGTTCTATTGAGATAATTTGTTGTTGTTGCTTGTTGTTAGTTGCTTTTAATTACAATTTAATGAGCTCTAAGGAGCCCACGAGCACACACACACACACATGGCCAATGCTAGTCAGTTAACGGTGAACCGCCAAAGAAAACAACGAATCATTGTTGTTAAAGATTTATCGTGATTTGTTTCAGGATGTTTTCTTTTCGATTTTTTTATTTTTTTTATTGTTTGCCGGTCAACAGTTGGGTTTGTTATTAATATTATTGTTGCTGTTGTTGTTGTTGCCCGTTGTTTTTAAAGCGCGACGCGTCCACGTAACGTTTACCTCTCTTTGCGAACAAAGTCAGCCATAGACTGAAAAACTAAAACAGCGACTGCGACTGCGACTGCGGCTGCGRCTGCGAACTGCGAACTGAGCTGACTGAGCAACGAAACGCTGGCTCAAGCGCAAGCAATCGAGAGAGCGAGCGTCGCCAGAGAACACAGAGCAGAGAGCAGAGAGCAGAAAGCAGAGAGCGGAGAGCGGCCAAGCATGGTGTACCTGTCGGCAGCGCAACGCAGCGCAGCGCAAGTGCAGCACACTCAAAACGGGAAAGTTTTGCTTTTTAGTTTTCTGTATTAAAGGATATGTGCACACACACAGGCGAAGAGAGAGAGAGAGAGAGGGAGAGAGACATACACAGAGACGCTCACAAGGGGCGCACAAACAATAGCTCTGGCAAATTGCGCTAGCTTCAAGAGTGCACACAAACAGAGAAGTAAAAGGAATAGGAATTTTGAGCAAAAGCAAAACAAGAAAATGAAGATGACAAGAAGAAGCAGCAGGCAGCGACAGCGACAGCAGCAACAACAACAGAACGAGCAAGCGGAACGTTAAGTAAAGCAATCGAGCAATTGACGCCGACGCCGATGTCGACGCTGACGCTGACGCTGACGCTGACGGCAAAGGCAGGTACCATGCTCTTGTGTATACATACAAACACACACACGCACACATGATAGTGCTGTTTAGCCTGTTGTTAATGCCCTGCAGCATACAAAAGAACAAAAGGTGCGCATGGGAATGTATGAGTGTGAGTGTGTCTGTGTGTGTGTCGTGACTCAACAGTCAGCTATGTATGTCTATACGCTGCGACTGCGGCCGTTGCCCAAAGGAGCTCCAGCAGCAGCAGCAGCAGCAGCAACAACAACAACAAGTGGGGCTTATTGGCGCGCGCAGCTCTAAAGGCTGGGCCTCACAGTGCAAAGCTGTGAGCCAGCAATAAAAGATGCCCAAAACTGATATACACACACGCACACAAATACAAGGGGTATATGTGCATACAGTCAATGCGTCTCTCAATTCTCAAAAAGAGGGAGAGTGAGAGAGAGTGTGTATGTGTGTGTTGAGCGGACGTCGGCACAGGTAAAAAAACACTTAAAGCATTGACGGCTAGAGCATTTCTATGCTACCAAATCACTTACACTTACGCACACACACACAAACACACACACATGCCTAATGGCAATCAGGCCCATATATTAGTACTTTATTCAGTGTTGCAGATCTGCGACAAGCTCAAAACGTAATTAACTGTCTATTCATGCAGCCGGCTAATCCCTCCACTTGACATGCTGCCGCGCTCTGCCGCCTTCTCTGCTACGCTTGATCCTTGCGTGCGTTTTGGGCACTTCAGCTGGCTGCAGTTGCAGGCAAATATTTAGCGTCTATGCCAAAAGCGACTAAAAGTACAACAGGTAAAGAGGCAGGGCCACAGCAACAGCAACAGAAAAGCTAAACAAAACAAAGCGCAACAGAACAAATAAAGCAAAACAAAAGACAAGCCTCTGTCGCTGTCGCTGTCGCTGTCGCTGTCGCTGCCGCTGTCGTAGTTGCTGTCACCATCGCTCTTCCAGGTATCTTCCAAGCATCCTCTAAAGATACAATCAACAACAACACAGCACACACTTAAGGTGTGTACCTGTGTGTGTGTGTGTGTGTGTGTGTAAGAGGGTATCGCATATCACATATCCATGTGTTGCCTGTCGGGCATCATTTAGGCCACCTTAACGTGTCTCCCGTAGCAATGGCTGTGACTACGACTGCGACTGCGACTGCGACTGCAACTGCGGCCCAGTTGCTCAGAGTTATTATAACGGATTTATCTCAAGTTGCAAGAAGCAGCAATGCACACAAACACAAACACTCACACATGCACATGCACATGCACATGCCGAGCGACACAAATATGATTTCATTTTACATTCTTGAAACTTTTTGCGCTTTACTTGTTTTTGCTTTTTATTTAGTTTATTCTTTCACAACTTACAAAGTTCACCTCACACACGCTCTCCCTCTCCCGCTCCCATTCCCTCTCGCTCACTCTCTTTGTCTCTCTGCCTCTGCCTCGCTGCACGCTCTCTTTGCTCTACGCTTGCTGCGCTGCGCTCTATTGCCTTAATGTTTTACGCTGCCTGCATTTGACGTCAACGTCGCCGTCGCCGTCGCCGTCGCAGTCGCTGTCACTCCCTCTGCTACTGCAAGGGCGTTTGCTGTGTTGTTGCTGTTGCTAGCTTAAATTTTGGGTTTATAACGACAGGAAATTAATATTTTAATTACACTGTCCGCTGCATTTACTTTACGTCTCTCTGTCCTCTTCTCTCGCTTTTGTTTCCTTTTCCTTTTCTGATTTTTCTTCTGGTTTTTGGGGAAGCTAACAGAAATGCCGGCAAACTCTAATTGATTTTTCATGGGTCCATGGGAAAGTGGCCAACACGTATTAGCAGCAATAGCCGCCACAACAACAACAACAACAACAACAGCGCAGCGGTCGCCACCTTAGCGGTCCTACCCCAACGGTTCGCTTTGGGCATCGCCTCAAAAATGCTGCGCTTGCGCGTGCTTCGCATGCCAAGCGGACCTCGAGGCTGGCTGGGGCCTGGACAATAACATGCTCAAAACATGGCTGGCATGCCTGAGCCGCAGTCCGAGCCAGAGCCATAGACAGAGGCAGAGGCAGAGGCAGAGGCAGAGACAAAGCAGAGATAGAGATAGGGGCAGAGAGTGAGCCAGTGCTCGACAGTGGGCTGGAAAGACATGCGCAAAATTCCAAATAATAGTTGGAGAGGCACAGTTTAAGCGGCACATGTTCGGTGCATATGGCGCAATCGCAATTACACTGAGCGAAAACACACGCAATTCGCATTTGGTATTTTGTGTCTACGTTTAAATACTCTTACCGCTCCACACTTGAATACTAATTACTGTGAATATTTTTAAAAAATTACATATTTGAACGAGGCTCCAAAATGTATTACGCAATTTATAAATATATAATCTGTATTATGAATCGAAAATATTTCCCCAAAATCATGTAGAGACAACTAGCTAAAGCTTTTAACTTTTAAATATCAAGATTTTTGTTTTCAATAGTTCTGAAAGTTTAAAAATCATTTAATTCTGCGTATTTTTCAAATTTAAAATTATTGAACATTTTGGTAATATTCAAATACGTTTTAGAATTGAACTTGTAAAACTTTTCATAAAGTTTCCTCAAATTTTTTAAAATGCTGAAAGTTAAAACAGTTTTGATCATTTAGAAAAGCCCAAAAATTTTAGATGTTATAAAAATAGCTATGCGTTATTAACGAAATTAAAAGTTTAGGTAGTTTTTTCTGTCGAATCTCAAGTTTTTTATTTGAAAAGCTTTTCTATGACATCTTTCGAAAGTTTAGAAAACTAATTTATAAGACCTGGCCTAGGTCAGGTTTATAACTCCAGAGCTATAAACGGGTAAGTTATTCTTTCAACAAATTGACAAGAGTAGGTAAATTAACCAATTACAGAATTATTTTAGACTAAATCATAGATAGTTTGAGTTGCAAATGAATTTTCTGCGAATCGATATATTAGCCCATATGGAAGATTAAGAAATATATCTTAGTTTTGGGATATTTCTATTAATTTTTCAATTTTGTTGTTTTCTGGAGAATTAGAGTTAGGCATAAATATGGAGTTATGGCATAAGAATGGAGTTAGGCGTTAATATATTTAGACATTACAAACCCATGATTAAATAATTAAAAAAATATTTTGTCGGCTTTCTCGAAATATGTTTGATGATATTTTCCACTCACTCACTCTCTCTGCCTGCCTCATTTGCCTGTAAGCTACATAGCCAAAATGCGAATCGAAATCCCAATCCCAATACAAATCCA